ACTTGGAAGAACTTCTGAGCCTTCCAGAAAGAGAATTTAAAATTGCCATGATTAAAAAAGTGATAGATCAGAAGAAGGAAATTGAGTCCCTAAAGAGGGAAGTAAGAGAAATGCAGGAGATCAAAGAATTAATGGAGGAACTAAAGAACTCTGGGAAAAGCAATGAAAGCAGAATAGATGAAATGGAAGAACGAATAAGTAATCTTGAAGACACAGAAATAAAAAGAACCAAAACAGAAAAGGAAAGAGAAGTACGAAGGAAAAAGAATGAAGAAAGACTTCGGGAACTATCTGACTCCATGAGGAAAGGAAATATAAGAGTTATAGGAATTCCAGAAGGAGAGGAGAGAGATGTAGGAACAGAGAAAATATTCATGGATATAATTGAAGAGAACTTCCCAAATGAGAAGAAGGAGCTGAAAATTGATATACAAGAAGCAAGAAGAACACCAAACTTCCACGACGAAAGGAAAACACAGCAAGACACATAATAGTAAGCTCCCAAGAATCCAGGACAAGGAAAAAATAATGAAGCTGACAAGAGGGAAGAACAGATAACATTCAAAGGAAAACCAATCAGGCTGACATCAGACTTCTCTGAAGAAACACTACGGGCAAGGAGAGAGTGGAGGGACATAGTCAACAGACTCCAAGAAAACAGATGCCAACCAAGAATACTCTATCCCGCAAAGCTCTCTTTCCTCCATGAAGAAAGAATATGGACCTTCCCAGACAAAGAGAAACTCCGGAATTTCATTGCGACTAAACCCCACTCCAAAAAATACTACAAGGAATCCTAAAGCCAGACCTCAGAGGGACGAATAACAACGAAAGAAGACCAAAAAAAAAAAAAAAAGTTATTAAAAGAATAAATAAATAAAATCAAAGGAAAGACAAACATAATGGCAAATACAGATGCTAACATATCAATATTAACTCTAAATGTAAATGGACTAAACTCTTCAATAAAAAGACACAGAGTTGCAGCCTGGATTAAGAAACAAACCCAACCTTTTGCTGTCTCCAGGAAACACATTTAGCTACAAAAGATAAAAATAGGCTCAAAGTCAAAGGATGGAAAACAATCCTACAAGCAAATGGGCCAAAAAAGAAAGCAGGAACAGCTATACTTATATCAGATAAAACAGACTTCAAACTCAAAAAAATAAAAAGAGACCCAATGGTCACTACATTATGATTAAGGGGACAATACTTCAAGAAGAAATAACACTCATTAACATATACTCACCAAACGAAAGAGCACCAAAATATATCAGACAACTGTTGTCCTCTCTGAAAACAGACATCAGAGAAAACACATATGTAGTGGGAGACTTCAACACACCACTATCAACAATGGATAGATCAACAAGACAAAAAATAAGTAAAGAAACTAAAGCTCTAAATAAGGACCTAGAGCATTTGGGCTTAACAGACATCTATAGAACACTAAACCCAAAAAAAACGGAGTACACATTTTTCTCAAGTGCACACGGATCATTCTCCAGGATCGATCACATACTGGGGCACAAGACAAACATCAACAGATACACCAAGATTGAAATCATACCAACCATCTTTCTGACCACGAAGGCATCAAACTAGAAATAAATCATAAAAAGAAGGCAAGGAACTATCCTACCTCATGGAGATTAAAAGCCACATTACTGGAAGACCACTGGACTAACGAGGAGATCAAAGAAGAAATTAAAAAATTCTTTGAATTGAATGACAAGGAGGACACCAATATCCTAAATGTATGGGATGCAGCAAAAGCAGTAATAAGAGGAAAATATATAGCAATAGAAGCTCACATCAAAAAACAAGAAAGAACTCAAAGAAACAACCTAATCTCGAAGCTCAAAGATCTAGAAAAAGAACAACAAAAAAACCCCAGAACCAGTAGAAGAAAAGAAATAATAAAAACCAAAGCAGAAATAAATGAAATTGAAACTAAAAAAAACAATCCAAAAGATCAATGAAACCAAGAGCTGGTTCTTTGAAAAAATAAATAAAATAGACAAACCCCTAGCCAGGCTCACAAAGGAAAAAGGGAGAAAGCACAAATACACAGAATCATAAATGAAAGAGGAGAAATCACAACAGATACAGCAGAGAAATCAAAAGAATAATCAGTAACTACTATGAACAGTTATATGGAAACAAGTTCAAAAATCTAGAGGAGATGGACAAATTCCTACAACTCTACAATCACCCAAAGCTAGGTAAAGAAGAAATAGAACACCTAAACAGACCAATTACAAGCAGCGAAATTGAAATGGTAATTAAAAACCTCCCCAAAAACAAAAGCCCAGGACCTGATGGATTTACAAATGAATTCTACCAAACATTCAGAGACGAATTAGTGCCTATCCTTCACAAACTCTTCCAAAAAATTGAGAAGGAAGGGACAATACCAAACACGTTCTATGAAGCCAATATTACACTAATACCAAAACCGAATAAGGACAACACAAAAAAGGAAAACTATAGGCCAATCTCCCTAATGAACACTGATGCAAAAATCCTCAATAAAATTTTAGCTATCAGAATCCAACAATGTATCCATAAGATAATTCACCACGACCAAGTTGGATTCATTCCAGGGCACAAGGATGGTTTAACATCCGAAAATCAATCAACGTTATCCAACACATCAACAAAAAGAAATAAAAACCATATGATAATATCAATAGATGCTGAGAAAGCTTTCGACAAAGTGCAACACCCATTCATGATAAAAGCCCTTGAAATTCTTGGGATACAAGGAAATACCTCAACATCATAAAGGCCATCTATGACAAGCCAACAGCCAGTATCATTCTCAATGGTGAAAAGCTGAAAGCAATTCCATTAAGATCTGGAACAAGACAAGGATGTCCACTCTCACCACTGCTTTTCAAATAATACTGGAAGTCCTAGCCAGAGCAATAAGACAAGAGAAAGACATCCAAGGAATCCAAATAGGAAAAGAAGAAGTCAAACTATCACTATTTGCAGATGATATGATAATATACATAGAGAACCCCAAAATCTCCACAGAAAAACTAATTCAACTCATCAATCAATTCAGTAAAGTAGCAGGATACAAAATCAACACGCAAAAGTCAGTGGCCTTCCTATACACAAACAATAAATCTGAAGAAGAAGAAATCAAAAAAACCACCCCTTTTATTATCGAAACAAAAAAATCAAATATTTGGGAATAAATCTAACAAAAGAGGTAAAGGACCTATACAAAGAAAACTATAAAACACTGTTAAAAGAAATAGAAGAAGACACAAAGAAATGGAAAGACATCCCCTGCTCATGGATTGGAAGAATAAACATTATTAAAATGGCCATCCTACCAAAAGCAATATACAGATTCAATGCTATTCCAATCAAAATCTCAATGGCATTCTTCAAAGAAATAGAACAATTATTGATGAAATTCATATGGAATCACCAAAAACCCGAATAGCCAAAGCTCTACTGAAAAAAAAAGAAGGAAATGGAGGCATCACACTCCCAGACTTCAAACTATACTACAAAGCCATAATCATCAAAACTGCATGGTATTGGAACAAGAACAGACATACAGACCAATGGAATCGAATAGAAAATCCAGAAATAAACCCACAGATTTATGGTCAACTAATCTTTGACAAAGGAGCAAAGACTATGCATTGGAGCAAAGAAAGTTTGTTCAATAAATGGTGCTGGGAAAACTGGGTCGCTACATGCAAAAGAATGAAGCTTGACCACTACCTCACACCATACACAAAAATCAACTCAAAATGGATTAAAGAACTAGACATAAGACCTGAAACCATAAAATACATAGAAGGAAATATAGGCGAAACACTACGGATTTGCACATCAAAGACATCTTTACAGACACATCACCCAAAGCAGTGATAGTGAAGAGAAAGATAAACAGCTGGGACTACATCAAATTAAAGAGCTTCTGCACAGCAAAAGAGACAATAACAAAAACAAAGAGAACCCCACCAACTGGGAGAACATTTTTGCACCCAACACTAATGATAAAGGACTGATCACAAAAATCTGCAAAGAGCTGATGAGACTCAGCAACAACAAAGAAAATAATCCAGTCAAAAAATGGGCAGAAGAGCTAAAAAGAAACTTCTCTGAAGAGGAAATGCAAATGGCCAACAGACATATGAAAAAATGTTCAACATCACTTGTAATCAGGAAATGCAAATCAAAACTACCATGAGATACCATCTCACACCAGTGAGAATGGCACATATTAAAAAAACTAGCAACAACAAATGTTGGCGAGGATGTGGAGAAAAAGGAACTCTTGTGCACTGTTGGTGGGAGTGCAAACTGATCCAACCACTATGGAGAGCTGTGTGGAGATTTCTGGACCTACTAAACATAGAGCTTCCATATGATCCAGCAATTCCACTCCTAGGTATTTACCCAAAGGACACAGAAACATCAATTCCAAAGAGCACCTGCACTCCTATGTTTATAGCAGCACTGTTTACAATAGCTAAGCTTTGGAAACAACCCAAATGCCCAAAAATAGATGACTGGATCAAGAAGATTGGTACATATATACCATGGAATATTACTCAGCATTCAAAAAAGATAAACACATGCAATTTGCAGCAACATGGATGGCACTGGAAGGGATCATGCTCAGCGAAATAAGCCAAAAAGAAAAAGAAAAATACCGGATGGTCTCACTCATAGCAGGAATCTAGAAAACTTAAATAAGGACCAGGAAAATGAATATAAGAAAGTGAAAATCAAAATCAACAAAAAAACTATGAACCAGAGACACTTTTGGGGGTGGGGGGCGGGAGGGGAAGGATTGGGGTCAGAATGGGGCGTTTGCAATTGTATGGGGGATATAAAAATAAAATTTAATATTAAAAAAAAAAAAAAAAAAAAAGAACTGTATATTTAGATTTATGTTCACCCTTAAGTCATACTTCCAATCCTGTTTGCTGGATAACCTACTGTAAATCCTGGTACTCACTCACCAGAACAAAGTAGTAGGCATATAGAGCTGTACAGTGGTGAACTACGAAATATTTGTCACCAATCACTTTCCAATACGAAATGATAATCAACAAATCTGTAAGAAAGAAAAATAAGTATTACATAGGAAGAACTGGCACTGCTTTTCAATGTATTTAACTCTTTCTCCTGACAACTCTGAGCCTACAACACAGTAATATTCTCTATAGAAAGAATTGAAGAAGTTCATTTCTCTTTCAGCTGGGTTTAGACAAGTTTGTTTCAGTTCAAAACTTGTTTTTGGGTTGTTATTTAATTTGGGCAAAGCATTATCATGGTTCTTTCAGATGAGATTTCCTGGGTAACGACGACTCTGAATTGGATTGTTCATCAACTAGAGCGTGAGACATGTTAAAAATTTTGTGCTATCCTTGTCAACGATAGCATTTTGTGGCAAATGAATGGATGTTTTCCCATGATTCATCCTTCTTTTCAATCACCCCAGCAAATGATCCAATCCATGAAAACACACTATTCATTATTTCTATCTGAATGTATCTCTTCCTCTAAATAAACTGCTTATGTTTTGATATAATCTAGGTCTTATTTTTTACATCACTTCGTGATGGAAATTTTCTGTTGAGTCCATTACTTGTCTCTATTACTTTTGTTTCAAGTTTCATCATTTGTATTTAGATTTTTCTCTCAGTTATTTAATAAACTTAAAAATTACAAAATAAGGTTCAGTGTACAAATGTACTAATCAGGCATCTGTTATTTCTCTCTTGTCTTAAGACAGACCAAGATGGCTTTTCAAAAGACTAGTTAAAATGGCATATTCCCTACTTAATTTCCATAAAGTCTCCTTGTATAAAAGGCTACTCCAACCCATCCAACATGAGGGAAATATGGCAGGGAAATGTGGAGTAGAAAGAGTCCATGAACTTAAAAGATTATGGCCAAACTAGGTTACTTTCACATGCTATTACAAAACCGTGACCATGAGAACATATTGCAAGGGCTCTTGCAAATGAGGGACCTTGATTGGCTTCATAATAATTCCACCTGAGAGACTCTTTCAGACAACAAGGGATTACTGCCAGCAAGAAATTCCAGGGTCCAGCAGCCCCATTCTGCAGTGCTGGCCTTTAGAGCCAAAAGCCAGCAGCAAAATGTGCATGTTCTACCATCACGGCAAGTATTTGTTTTCTTCAGTATGGGTCTAAAAAGGTACTACTCAAATAAATGAACCAAAAGCAAATCCTATGCATTATTTGCATAATTCCATGAGTGGTTTAAAAAAAATAGACAGTGAACAATATATCACATACCAGAAAGAGGTAGCCGGTAGCAATAGAAATATTCACTTTCCCAAGCGTTGAATCACCCCTATATTTTAAAAAAAGTTTCCTTTTTTAGCACATGGGTTATAAATGACAGTTACCTTAACCCTATTGAGATTTAAATACAATTAAAATGCTTTCTATAGATTCTCAAATGGTAAATTGTCTTTTGCACAAAGTACTTTTAGCTGTAATATTTCCAAGTGAATGAATCATAATTTATCTATTAGCTAAAAATATATGACAATAATGTTTAAAAAAAAAAGACGTTTTATAAATGTGTTTCTCAAACAATTTGTTTGCAAAAAGATTTAAATGGTATTCCAGATGCTGACTATTTTGATTCTGCTTCTGAATTAGAGGTTCAAATACCTCAAGAAATTATCTATCCCACCGCTGATGCTGAAGCAATACACTATTACCTTACTGAGAACCAGAGGGATTTACCTATTATCACACACTAAGAAAATGCTTGGAAGAAGACAGTTTAACCTTGCTGTTTTGACCCCTACACTTTGGCCTTTCTCGTGCTTTAAGGCAAAAAAACAAATACACAAACTATCAGTCCTTTATCCCATTTGTAATGTGAACTACTGGTGCGATGAACACTACACAAAAGCAGTCACAATTCAAGTACAAATGGTAATATTTAGCAGAAGTCATTTCTTCTCTATAAAAGTTGAGCCACATATATGACCCAGGAAAAGTGGACCTACGATATATTAAGGAATCAAAGGAAATACAAAAATATAAAAAATGTAAGAGAAAAGTTTGATAAGCACAAAATTGCTCAATGAGTCAAATCTCTACCTAAAAATTTAAAATTTACCTCCTAAAACAACTTGTTCTGTTGTCATTCATGTTATAGTAATATATATATATATATATATATATATATACACACAAAAAAAAAGGAGCTAGAAATTATTTAGGTAGATAATACATTAAAATTTGGTCTAGGAATTAAATTCTTTAAATCGAGTTGTTTTAAAATTATCTTCCCAGTGAAAATTTACTAAACTGGTATAGTTCTGATGGACATAATTCCATATTTATGAATAAAGAACAGCACTGCTGCAGTCAAACAGTGGTGGTTAGAAGACCTGGTTAAATTGCCCAACATCCCCCAGAGCCCACATCTACCACATGTGATGCAGGGCTTTCTCAAAAACTATCTCATCTCTCAAACTAAGCTGAACTAAACTTTTTCATGTGATGCTAGGAAAAATTGTTTGTAGAACTTCTGCCATTTTAATAACATTTAAATTTTTCAAAAAGAATCATTGTACAATTTATCCTATTATTGCAGAACAGTTATTATTAGTGCTTCAGATCTTCTCATTCAGTACTAACATCCTCATATGGCCATCTATTATTCTCATTTTCACATCTTTGATAACAAATGATGGATCAAACATAAATTTGAACACTAAGCCTTAGGTAGTTATTCTCCAAACTGCTTATCCTAGCTTCTTCACTTATTTTTGCTCAGTGGTAACAATAACTTGGTTTTACTCACTAACACAGTATAAATGTTTACATCATCATTACAGGTCCCGGTTCTAGGTAACAATTATGATACTAAAGCAAAATGGCCCACATTATTTGTACTCAAATCTAAAATAAGTCATTTTAATACACCTTGCTGAAATAAGTCTAGACACAAGCATCTTAATAAAACATATACCATCAATATATTTTATTTTAAAGTAAGAGATGTTCTTATTAATAATTAATATGAAAACATAAATCAGATGGGCTATATAAGAAAAAAACAGCTTACCAAATTGGATCAGCTCGGCCAGCCTCATCAAAAAAGAAAATGTACAGGCCCAGAATCCCAACAATCAAAGAATGCATGTAGATACCACCCTGAAATGAAACAAAATACAGTGATTTTAGATTCTGTGAAATAAACTTTAAGTTTGGCAAGACATTTAACATTCTGAAAAACTTAAATCTGGAAGCATTTAAATATAGAACAGAGTACACCTGAGAGTATACTACAAAACTGCACTTAGAAATCCAAAAGGCCAAAAAAAAAAAAAAGAAAGAAAGAAATCCAAAAGGCCACACCCTTACTTTGGAATTAATAACAAGGATGGCCAGGTCCATAATTTCCTGCTAGAAAATTGGTGAACCGCTTAATGGTGAAGTCATAAAGCAGAAGTATCTGTCTTGGTGCAGCTGCTGGTGGCTGCCAGTCTTGTGCAGATACCACCTGGCACTGGTAAGCCCACCACCCTGCATTCTGCTCAGAGCTCCATGCCCAACAGTCTCAGGGCAGGATTAGTTTTCTGCTCCAGTCAGTTACGAATGACTTCCAAATCTGTTGGCCAATGCTTTCCCTTGAATCAGAATTCAAATGGATCATGAAGTGAAGATTACCTTGAAGATTTCCATTTTAGTGCACACTCACATACATTATTGTACCTGATTCTTGTAACAAACTGTGAGAAGGCTAGGTAGGGCAGCTACTATGAGTATCACTATTATAAAAGCACTTCTCAATAGGAAAATTGAGGACTATAAATTTATGCAGGAAATCTGTTTTTAAAAGACATACCCAAGTGGAAGCAAAATGTTCACAAGAATCCAGATGGAATTTTCTCTTACAGTTGGAATAAGGTTTAGATGGAAAACATCAGTTTGTAAACATCTTGCTAATAATTTACTGACTCAACTAACACCAAATCTCTATGATAGCCATCTAAAGAGCCTATATACAGAATACTACACATATTCACACAATGAAATTTACAAGTTATGAAATTCTTTTCTCTTCATTAGAATAAAGGATGAAAGAATAGCAGCTCTCTCTATAGAAGTTAATAGTGTGTAATGAATGTCTCTCTTCAATACATACCCAAATCTTTAAAAGTGAAATATAGCAACCTATATCAAGTTCTTGTTGTAACTTGAAAACTCAATAAACTAGATCTAATAGCTGATAGGCTCTTAAACAGATATACCATGTTAAATCAAATAATATTTTAAGTGATCAGAGGCATGTACACAGACCGTTTTGAAATGTGAATAACTCAAGTTATCTGGTTTACAAGTGTGGAGATTTCATGACAAGCACACCTGTATTCTGTTTGAATATAACAGGATAAAAATGTAAATTCCTTGATATCAAATAGAACACTCAGCACTCCATCTAAATAATCATACTGATGGCGGAGAAAATAGAAAAACAAGCCTAAAACTTGCCTCACACAAGGAGGTGGGGGTAGAGAATTAACATGATCATTAACCCAGCTATAGAAATCAAGACCTTAGGTGCCAGTGCCTTATCACAAGACATAAGGCCCATGAAAGTATCAGATGCTGTAGGGAGTGTCTAGAACACAGACCTGAGGGTAAAGATACAGAGATTGGGCCCATTGTGGAATCCCTGGTTCCTTTCGATTGATTCTCATTGTTATCCAAAATCAGCAACAAACAGGCCACTCCACAAAGGAGTGAGACCATCCCAAAGAGAAAGACTGTATCAGTACAGTCTGCACTGGCATGGGGCAGCAGTCCATCTGCCCACCTGTGACTATGTAGGTGCTTCTTTTCACCAAGTCGGTCCCTCTGCAGGGCAGCAGCCTTCCTGCCTGCCCGTGACCTGTACCATGCTGGGGCTTCTCTCACTGGCATCCCTCAGCAGAGGTAGCTCTCCTCAAGGCTGCCTGCCTGCAACCCTGGAGGCCTCTCTCAGCAAATCTGTCCCTCTCTGGGCAGCTCTTTCTGCCCGCTTGTGTCTATGCAAGTGTCCCTCATTCTTCTGTTCCCTTTTCCTTATAAATCTGTTCTTTAAATATAACTAACATCTCTGTCTCGTGGGGAATCTCTCCTGGGAAACTCGCCGTGTGCCGCTGAAAGGGAAGCTCTAGTGAAACATTTCCCAGACTGAACCCAAGGATCCCGCACTCCAAACTCCAAAAACCACATCAATACTACCCACTTGTTATTAAAAAATTCTAAGAAAGGAAAGAAACATGGTTTCTGATTATTTCAGTGTTTACCAACCTAATATCAAAAAGTTTTAACTTTTGGGAGGAAAGAATCTAATTTCTTGTTTCTGATACTCAGGCTTTAAAAACCCTTCTCTGGTGAAATGCTATTATGGTAAATGGGAAAAATTACAAGACCTCACCTGATGAAAATGGCACATTTCATAAGAGAAAAGTTGAGCATTACTTGAATCAAATGGTTCTAACTGTAATGAACAGAAGAAGAAACACCCCGCAGTGCACTGTCTGTATTCTGTATTGTCTACACATTCAAAAACATATGCTAGTATAATTTTCATATTTCATTCAGATTCCTGGCAAAGCAAAATGTAGATTCCTTAGCATCTAAAAGGAAACACCAACATAAAATATTTGATTTTTTTCCCAGAGAGGATTAAAAAGAAAGTGCTTATTAAAAAGATAGTACTTTTTTAAAAAAGAAATTTTAGAACAGCAATTTAAAGTTACTGATTTAGTCATTCACAAGTATTTATATGTAATAACTATAGGAAGTAATAACTATTTAGAAGTAATTAAGCTGTTCTTTCAGGTGTGCATTTTCCAGAGTTTCTTTTTCCTCCTGTCCTTTTCTACCAGGTGGTTTAGACCATTCATTGTGCAAAGACTCCTGATTTCTGGGAATAACTGAATTGTGTGTGTTTTGTTGATCTGTCTATTTCAAGACTGGAAGTTAGATTTCAGGACATATCTGTACTTTACTCAAAAAGCAAACAATTTTGTCCTTTGCACTCTAACCTTAAGTCCCATGTAAATCAAACTGGACTGGGAATCGGGAGTAAATTTGAGAGAGACAGAGAGAGAGAGAGAGAGAAACCATTGGAATATTGTAATGAATCTTATACAGTCTCAGGTTCCCATTTTAAATGGGCACTCAGTTTTCCAAATAGTGATTCCAGGCATCATACAATGTCTAAGACTGAATAAACAAACTATATTTCAATTTCATCACTTTATTTTAATCTTTGCTTCTCTCTCTCTGCACGTTCCCTATTTCTTTGACTTGCAGCTTTCCAAATTCAAATGCTTTTATCTACCCTAATCACAGTGAAAGGAAATGAAACTAGCTCAAAATTTAGCTGCAGAAAATATACATCCTCTGTGTCCTGCTTCTCTTTCCCACTTGTCTATCTATCTTCATGTTAGAAAGCGTTTTAAAAATAATTGTTGGTACCTTTTGTAGCCTACGTTTGAACAATATCTTTGTGCTATTCTTAAGACAAATGAATCATACCTCTTCTTTTTCAAAAACACGTGGAGAAATATTTCACGCTTTTGAGGTGGAAGGAACTGTAGCATGCATGAATCAGATAAATCAGTGTAAAGTGCAGAAGACAACTAAGTCTTATTCACAGTCTGAGTTATAAGAGGGATGCCTACAGAACAATTTAACTCAAACAAAGATAGGGATTTCAAGTCAAATATGACCATTCTCAAATAAATACTTAGACATTGGTAGAGATCTTGAATTCTAAAAGGAAATTTCAATGAAAAATAATTGCCATTCTACAAACCTACTGAATTCATTTTGTTAGTACTAATTTTAACTAAATAAGAATACCACAAAGGATTGCCAGGAGCTGCTCCAATTCACAAAGGTTTACAGATGCAAATGTTTGGGTACCTGGAATGCTATCAAGCAAATGAAGCATTCATCAGAACTAGTCTGTGTATAAAACCTTGTGGGAGATTAATGAGGGGCAGGTACAAAAAATTTTGCAAACCAACTAGCTGAAACTCCCACAGATTTATATATCCTTGGAGATCCTGTTGGCTTCCATTCATTTTTTTTGTTTGCTTAAAGAAATCAAAAAAATATTTTTTACTTTAGAATTATACAACACCGGAATAGATTCTGGAGGGGTTCTAAAATGAAAAGTTCACTAAGAGAGATACAGCTGCACTAATCGCAAAGCAGGCTCTGAGTGTAACTGCTCTCACTCTGCTCAGCAGGCAATGCTATATATAGGCCACGCAGCCCACTGGATGTTTACTTCTGTTATCATTTCCAAAGAACATGTGTTTGTTATCATTAATATTTCAGAGAAGAATGCAAAACAGTATTCTTTTACAGCCAGCTGGACTCTGCTTATTATTATCCTTACCACACTTCCTCAGAAAGTGAAATAAATCTTACCTATAATATTTCACTACAGGAATTTTAAATTTTTCTTGTAGTGCTTTAGATTTTGTTAGGTCCTCAATGAAAGCCTTTTTGGAAATATTGTACATAATTTCTTAAAACGAATTCTTTTTAAGTTAGCCAATTACATTTTCAGATGTTTTACCTTGAGTTCCATTCAATCTTCTTTTCGAAGTTGAGACAAATAAAACCTGAAGAAACTTTTGCTGAAAACCAGTAACTTACAAAGTGAAAAAGAAGCTGAAAGATGAAAAAGCTGGTGAAGGCAGTACTGATGATCAGTTTGGTATCCATATTTCTTCAACCTGTTAAGAGAAATGATGGCTATAAATTGCTTTAAATTGCTCATGATAAACCTAAATTATTTTTTTACTTTCAAAGAGTACATGGTTACATTTTTATTAATTTAGTAACACAAAAAAATTAAGAATTTTAAGCCATTTGTGTGTTTTTTCACTTTTTCCAGCTATTTGTCATTTATTTTATATTTGTATTTAAATGAGAGAAAAAATCTTTAAAGATGTCAATAAATTATAAATTTGAGGAAACAGATTTAATAATGGTATACAAAATTAGCTAAGTTTCAGAGTCTAATATTCAGAGAATTTCAAGTACTATGAATGAATGTATTTTTTCAGTAGTATAATTTTTAATTAAACTTCTCTATGCCTCAATTTCCTCATCTATATAAGTGGGCAAGTTGGTTAGATAATTTCCAAGAAACAACTAGGTCAAAATCATAACAGAACAAATAGCAAAACCAAAAATAATTATGCAACAAAAACTGATTATAGAATGAGATAAACAACATTTAAAGTACATAACATCTTAAGAAGGATAACACTTAGAAAAGAACCACACCACTATTACTACTGCTGAAATTTGTATTTAATTTTCCAAAAATATTCTGCAATCACACATATCCTTGAACTAAAAATTTTCCATGGTTTTTTCAATCTCTAAAATACATTTTTACAAAGATTTCAAGGTTTTAAGGATAAAGGTAGCAGAAAGAATAGTAATATCCATGTACACACATTCAAAGTATGTTTTCTATTACAATAAGCTAAACTTTGTTTGGTCTAAAAATCTTATAAACATCCAGACCAAAAAAAGACACTAAAACGTTTGCTAATATGTAGCCAATACAGCATTTCTCAGTCTCCATCTTTGATAGGGCTGACCCTCAAATGAATCAATCCATATTTCCAGCTGCCTAATGTGAAGAAATAAAGTCACCTACTGGGGCCAATTCACTAGAGAAAAACCAAGTCATTGACTGCACTAGCAATAACCCCACTTCATTCCCTTCCAGCCAGGATCTCATAATAAGAATCAGTCTCCCACAGGGCCCCTTCTGACAAAATTCATGTGTCTGTAATGAATTCTTTTCTCATTCTCTTTTTCTGGTATGTGTGCTCAGTAAAAATATTGATATTACAATTCTTCTCTGTGAGATTCCATTAACTTTATTGCTCATTTACTTTTTTTTTAAATTCAACATGTATTTATTGGTATTAAAAAATTTAATTTGCGGTCTTTTAACCTAGGTTTAATATTAACCAAATAATACATAAAAATAAGCTTTGTACACAAATTAAACAATACTATAATTTTGCTAAATGCAACATAAAGGAAAAAATATTTTTTGTAAAATTAAAGCAAATAGTGATCTGGAGGCCAGGCGGGCAGATAAATGATAAATGAAGAATATGAAACCAGCAGCCAGAAAACAACAGAGTTTAATCTTAAAATGTGAGGATTGTTTGCCCTGAAGGGTTTTATATGTTCTCTGCTAGTCTTAAAGGTAGTAGGGCTGCTCAATTACTTTTGTTGAAATTCAGCATTTATAATTAGTCTTTATTTCATGAGTGCTTACCAAAAGTCATAAAATACAGAGGATATCACGCAACATTACCCATTTTTCAAACTGTTAAATTAACCCATACATTAAAAAAAAAAAAAGCACTCAGACAACTCACCATTAAAAAATTCATCATTCCTTAAAAAAGTTGGTTTTAATTAATTCTTTGTTATTCTGGATATTTTGTATTTTCAGCAGACTTACTTTCAGTTAACTGGTGTCTTGGGATATATGCTGATTCTCTTTGCAAAAATGTTTCAAAACTAAAAAGTTTCATATAAATTGTGGCTTCCATTAAAGGCTCAACAGACAGAAGCTAATTAAATTGTTCTACTTCAGGCTTTGCTTCTTACTAAGCAGCTGCTTGCTTAATTAATCAGTCATGCCAAATCAAGGACTAGTCTACATTTTTTACAAACTTCCCCAGAAAAATCAAGGATTCTGGTATAAAGCAGATGCCCATTTAGTCCCTGAATCAGGCAACAAAATGGGAAAAATGGATAAAATTAAATAATGCTCACTAGTGACATAGAGGAAGAACCACCTTGCATTTGGTGATAAGCATACACAGTAAAAGTATTAGGCCAGGTTCACACGGCAGAAGCTGGAAGAAGTCTGCAATATTTACCTAGAAAGGAGCCACTGAAACAAGTGGGAAATATTTCTGTGGCAATTGAAAAGGCGGAGTGTCTAGACATGAACTTTACAATAGAATCAATCAGCCCATCTTGGGTCACAGAAGTTTCACCTACCAAAGCAACTCTGCCAGAGACTTCCCACATACATTAACGTGTGCATTGTTTCCCCCCAGATGGTTTCCATAAACTGTTTTTTTTTTTAAGATTTATTTATTTATGCATATAAACCTGGGGTGTAGGCCAGAGGTGGAGGGGGGGAGTGAGAGGATTCACCAGAGACAGAGTGGGGAGCAGAACAGGCGGATTGACTGAAATACACTGCTGAGGGGAGCAGAGGGTGAGTCAGGAGAGGTCTGCTGTGTCATGTGGGTAACTCCCTGGCAGGTGTTTGAACTCATGCAGCAGTGGCTGCAGATAGCTTCATAGGTTGCGGCTTAACCCCTTGTGCCACCAGGGAGGCCCTTTCCATAAACTTTAATTCAGGCAGGTTGAGGAGAGCAGGAAAGGTCCCAAGTACACCTCTCACCAAGCTTCTGAGAGTCCTTCACTGGCAGGAGGACTCCCTGAGGAAGGACCCCTGTGAACGGCACAGCCAAGCTGATTCAGTCTTCACTTCAGTCAACAGTTTGTCCAGCACGTGCGTGGGCACCATGCACCAGACATTTTGCTTTCAGGGAAAAAATACCCAGCAGAGAGGACACATAAACACTGAGGAGCCATCCCAGGTATTTAAGGTGAAGCAAAGGAGCTCTCTCCTCTTCTCTTAAATCCCAAGACACTGAAGTCTAAAACACTCAGTCCCACCACTACAACCACTGACCTGAGAACACAACTCTGCTTTCATTTCCTGTGTTAACTATTCCCATGGCCATGGCCGGATGGCTGGGGAGTATGCTGGGATCTCTAACACCACTTCCCTACACACACACAACTGCTCTCCTCCATGTTCTGACAAAATTTCCAGGTGAGATCTGCTGCTGTAGTGTTTTAGCAGCATACAGCACTTAAAAAAAGAGGTCCCTTGTGAGTGTCTTTAAGGGAGCAAGGACCAGGAAAGCTGGGGAAATGCCGTACTTGTGTACAGCATTCCTTTTCCTATCCTGAGCAAGTTTTCCTATTGCCCACACTGATCCCAAGTATTCACAGCTCTCAAATCTCCAATTCTCCCTCTTGTATAATAAATGAGGTTTCTTCCCAGTTCACACAGCCAAAAACAAACAAAAAACAAGAACCTAGAACTAATTAGGCATGGATGAACTCCCTCAACGCAGCAATGTTTCTTCCCCACCCCCACCCCACTCCCAGCTCCCCCACCCCCCCACTAACCCAGAACCTCTTCTGTGCACACTGGAGGCTCAGCCGTGGCATAAGCTCAACACAGCTCATGTCATGTCAACCAGATACTGCTACCCGCCAGCGCACAGGTCCTAGCCGGTCAGCTACCTTCTGGGTGACTCCATATGTGCATCCCGTAGACCCCAAAGGCTGTACCTGACCCAAGCGGAACTAAACCTCAAGCCAGGATTCCATCTTTCTTTCTCCAGGATTCCATATCTCAGAGAACAGCTGTCATCCACAGCTCTCCCCACCTTCCATTCTACAACAGCTCAGTCATCCTGGACACCTTCCTATCCCTCATTCCCACTATTAACAGACTGCCAAATTCTGGTAGATTGAAGAATATCAAAGGAAGAATAACTTGATTCCAGGAAAATTCTGAACATTCATGATAGCCTTATGAATAATCAAAGAAATCTCGCTGGATAACATAATTAGGTAAATCCAGAGCCAGCTAAAAAATTAGAAGCAGCATGTAGATCAATGACCTGAAGCAGACTTGAGAAATATCTCTGCTGTCTTGCCAAGTTCTCCCTTTTTGGTCTGTTTCAATAACAGTTTTACAAATATTTATGTTTACTCCATCGCTATACAACACAGAACTGGGAAAAATAGCTAAAGAAATGGGAAAACAGCATCAAGTTTCAAAGTTATCTTCATAAGCAAACTGAGTCCCAATCAGAAAGACAAAATAGGAATAAATTTCTAAAAGGCAATGCCAAAGCATGGACCTAGCGTAATAGTCCAATAAACACACACACTCGCAAACGCAGGTTCGCTCATTATCCATCAGTGCAGGAGTGTACCTTTGGATCAAGACATGTATCAGCCCCACTTTGCTCTGAATTAATCACATACCAAAGCACCTATAAAGGGCTGCAACTAGCACGTTTGCAAAATATGGAAACAACCTAGATGCCCCCAAACAGATGCACGGATCAAGAAGATGCAGGGGGATGGGGAGGGGGAGAACGGTCAATAGAGGGAGGGAAGAGCACAAGGGACTGTGGGGATGGATCGTGGGTGCTGGTGTGGGTGGTGGGAGACTTATGGGAACTACACCTGAGAGGAGAAATAAAATACACAATGATGTAAATAAAATGAATGATTAAAAAATAAATAAAAATAAATAAGGTGGGGCAACTAAGACTGTGACTCTTAGAAATCACGACGTGGTGGAGAGTTAAAGGGCAGAGGAAGGTTAGCTGGGAGACAAGACTACTTAGCGAGGACTTGAGAGCGTCCCTCAAACATCTAAAAAACTGTCCTGTAGAAAAGTGAAAGGAACTTACTCTGCATTCCTCAAAATGGCACAAGTGGGCAACAATACAGGGAGGGGAAGAGTTTAGCTTCATTTAAGGAAGAACCTTCAACAAATTTAAAGTGTCTGCGCATCCATGACAGACGCAGCACAAGGACCACTAGCACAATGGTCAGAGGAGGGGCCTGTTCTGATCTCGCCTAC